TGACTTTGTAGTGGGCAAACTAAATACACTTCTGAGGAGATCAAAGCAGTAGCCATACTCCAGGTTCACAGTGAATGTACTCCCAAGTCCTTGGTGGGAACAGAGGCATTCAAACCAGTGGTCTGTCTTTGAAACAGCTTTGGACCATGGGTAGTGGGAAAAGTCTGAATAAGAGAATTAGATTTATTTTGAAGTAAAGACTCCAAAATGCACATAAATCTAGATATAGTGGCTTCATTACCAAATTATGTGATTTACCAATCTGCTCTTGCTATTTCGTACTACTCACTAATGTAAGCACACACATCATTTATAGCTGAAAAAACCAGCAGATAAAAATTTAGTATTTTAGATTATACCCTGAAAAATTGTGATTAAGGATCTTTTTGTAATCACTTAGCTCTATGCAGCATACCAAAAAGTGTTTAATATTTTGCATGACTATAAAACACTGTATGGTTCCAAATACCCCTTTCTTTACAAGTAAGACAACCCAGCTGAATGCAGAATTTATAATTTGAAAAGATATGGTTGCTTCTTATCTTAAGACTGTTCATGCCACACAAGTCACTATTACCAGCATATTTACTGAATAAAAAGCTAAAGTAGTAAATTGTCAGACCATACAACACAAGAAGATTTTCATGAGATCAATAGCATTCCCTGAATGACAAACACCTTTAAGTACAGAACAGCATTTATCTGAAGGCGCTGGATATGCTCAATAGTTCAAACCATATGAAAGCTTCAACTGACTCCCTATCTGTAACAAACCTGAGCTGGAATAACTACTGACCCACACCCCCAGACCTATCAAGCCTTCCAGCATGAGAGCCTTAATGCCTATTACAAGCATTCACAGCTTTCCTTTGCCCTGTCCTCTGCTCTAGTCCCACCACTCCTGACCCAAGGGAAATTGTCTTCCTCCTCCTCCTCCTCCTCCTCTTCCTCCTCCTCTGCATGCTGGCCCCCAGAATCAGTGGAACAGCAGAGCTGTTGGCTGGCACTTTCCAGCGCATACTAAGAAACTGATTCCCAGATACCGAGGCAGAGGAAACACTGCTGAGATGAGTGGCATTTTCTGTTCCTCCATTTTTATTTCCAGGGGACCTGAGAGTGTGGGCATTTTATTAATGAGTCAAAAGACTCAAGGGGACAAACTCCCTCAGCCACAGACCTAGGGAACAGCAGAGCTGTTGGCTGGCACTTTCCAGCGCATACTAAGAAACTGATTCCCAGATACCGAGGCAGAGGAAACACTGCTGAGATGAGTGGCATTTTCTGTTCCTCCATTTTTATTTCCAGGGGACCTGAGAGTGTGGGCATTTTATTAATGAGTCAAAAGACTCAAGGGGACAAACTCCCTCAGCCACAGACCTAGGCATACAGTACAAACACTGCTGA